TCAAGGGAAGTTAAATCCAGCTGCCTGGTTTATGCAGAGGGAGTCCTGGACTGAGAACCAGGAGTTCAGATTTCTAGCTTTGCTATTCACCTTGGTAGTCTTGGTGTCTTCTCCCAGTCTCTTCCCTGACCACACAACCTTTGGGCAGGGAATGCTTCCCACTCTACGTATTTACAATCCCTAGTGTTCTGAACACTGAGCCACGAGAACTCACTGTGGACTAAAACCAAATAGGAAACACCAAGTCTTTGGCTTTGTCTTTCTGGAGTTTTTGGGTTATATTTACCATTTTTTCTGAGGCAAACAAGCTTTCACATCCAGTTACATCAATAAAAGAAGAAAGAAGGGACCAGCCCATCACTGTCCTGTCAGTCCCAGAGGCTGTCACCTCTGCTTTCCATTTATATCCCAACTTCCACCACTACATAAACAGGGGGTTGCAAGCAGAGTACTGCACAGACATTCCAAAAGGAACGAAAAGGGGAAGAAAAACAGGGCTGGTGTATATATGCTGGAGCTTCCCTAACACCCACAGAGGCGGTGGGTACCCAGCATAGGGGACAGAGGCGTGCTTTGGGAAAGAAGAACCTGTTTGGTACAGGCAGAAAACTATAGGGAAGTTTTAATGAGGATTTCAGTAGATACAAATCGTTTCCTGAGCAATGGCTGATGACAGCTAATAGGAATCCCAGAAACAGTACGACAGCACCTTCTTATTTTCTGTTGCCTGCAATCACAGTGTCCAGATGTTATTTTCATCCTCCCAGTAGTATAATGAACAGTTGCATTCACATTTCTATTCCTTTATTTTTGCCAGAGATGTCACTGTTCCTCTTTTTTCTATAGACATAGAAGTGCAATTCTTACCCTTCCCTCTGTTTCAGTACTCAACTAACGTAAGGAGGCAGAAGCCAGTAAAAAGTTTATTAGCAGACCTCTCCAGAGAATCAGTTTAACATAGTTATGTGTAATACAGCTTTATTTCTTTTATTTTTCCTTAAATTAAAGAAAAAGATAAAAAAGGGAGTTGTTTAAATTTATGAGCTGATGAGACAGTGAGTAATGGTGAATCACTGTTTAATATTTTAGTCAACCATCTGCAAGGTGAGCTGTACTCCCTTTCATATCGCTACTGCTAAGAAGTCACCTCAAGTTTCTTGAATAAAATCAGTCTTGCATCAACCTGAAAGGCTGTATTCAGCACAAAAAGCAATTATTGTCCACCCAGAGATCTCAAACACACAACTTTCAATGCAGGAGAAAACAAGCACAACTATAAACTGGGGTGCGGGGTGAATAACAAAAGCTGCAAGGATGAAGGTGGCTTTTTTGCTAGCTCTCAGTGATTCTGCAGGCAGAGTTACAGGAGAGAGCAGGTATCTGGCTGTGCATGGAGGACAGTGCTTATGGTTGTCTATATGCTGCCTTGTGATCACCTCATCTTCCTGTGCTTCCAAGACAGTTACTAGCACTCCAGTGGCACTAAACCTCAGGCCAGCCTGGGATTTTCCAGCCAGTTTCCCAGAGGAAGGAGACACAAGCTTCTCTCTTGTTTCATCTTCCTCCAGACCAGTGACATGTGAGGAATACCTCTGTGTCTCAGTGTCACAGCTACCCAGAGGAAAGCACAGCAGTGCTGGCAAGGGAGGAGGATGCAGCAAAGGAGGTTTGTCAGCAGTCTGACACCTACAGATCCACAATACCAGGGGACACACACACTGTGCAGACAAGTTACCTGCCCCACCTGCAGTTACAGTGTCTGAGCAGAGAAGGTGCAGAGCCAGCTGTATCCCTTCCAGTCTCCATGTGCTACCTCTCCCACTGGGAACAAAGACTAAAACCCCGGGTGGCTCAGGAAAGCCTCCATTAGACTTGTTGTTTCCAAATTTCCCCTTCCTGCTCTTCCCAGTGCTGAAATCCTCATCAGCCTCTTGGTCTTAGCTGCTTTCATGAGAGCATGGTCTCTTCCAGACTGGCTATCTAACCATCTCTTGCCCACCGCTCATACCCACCTCCTCTGCTGCCATTGACAAGAGCTGCCTTTAGCATATGTTACCAGCAAAAAACAGGCTCTAGGCCCAGCCTCTCTGTCTTTCTTCAAGGGTATTTTTGAATTCCTTTCCTTGATTAATGTATGTTAAAAGTGACTAATTTCATACCTTCCATCTCTTTAGCTGCTTTACAACAGGGAAAAATGCAATTTCCTCTCGCTTGTCAGGTGTCACAAGAGTTTTGTGAACCATGACAATACACATTGCTTACTGCTGCACACATCCGATCACCCCCCTGAAATCTAATGGGATATGAATAGCGGTTTTGCAATAAATGTGAGTTATGAAATTACTATAGAGAGCCAGTGCTACAGAGAAGGGTACTGAGAGACTGTGTAACCCAGCAGAAATATGGTTTTCTGTACAGCACAGGCTACACCAAAGGAAACTACATCAGTTGCTCTGGGGCTGACTTCAATGGAGTGAGGAAAACCTTCATGACTTTTTATGCATCTTTTACACCTGGAGGATGACCACTCACGTCCATTGTCTTTACACTGCTGAAAATGACAGAAAAACTCCTGGTGCATCCAGTTCCTTCACAGTGTTTGATTTATACACATACAAACAAGCAGCTTAGTCTCCACTTTGGTTTGCAGACCCTTCTTCCACGGCAAGTGCTTCAGCCACGATGCAGTGAAATCTGATGCCAGCACTAAGTCAATAGTTGTTCCTTGTCTCCCTGAAAATAACCTACTTCAAACTGTGCAATAGGAATTTTGTGAAGCTCAGGTGAGCTGATTTGGACCAGAAACACACCTCCCTCTCTTTTCACACTCACCAGTGGTTCACCACTCACCCCATTAAATAGCACACAAACTTGATTTGCCATAGCTATTTCTCAATGTCCTTTTTTTATGGGACCCTACCAAGTGAAGTAGCCTTCTGTCATGTGGTGTCTTGTCTCTATCAAAACATGGAGGCACTGTGTTCAGGTCACCTCCTGGACTTCTCACTTAATTGAACAGATTTGGCACTAATTTAGTGGTAAAGAAGTTCTTGATATTATCAAGGATTCCTGCCTTGGAGATATTATCTGACATAGAGAAAAGTGTAGATTTGTTTTCTGAATGCTCTATTTCCTCTGTAAAAATTCACAAAGCTTGCTCACAGCTTGAAGGACATACCTTGAAGGACAGTGACAGAACAAAACCGAACATTCAAAGCAGTACTTCTTTTTGTCTTTTCCAGGTCTTCCAAGTGAAGCAAAACAAAGAACAAGAAATCTTTTCACCCTCTGAATTTCTCTGACATCAGAAGAGATCCCCAAGCAAATACATTTCCCTGGGTTTTCAGGGGAGAGAAGCAAGAGAAAAAGTTGGGAGCGAAAGAAAAATCTTCCCTATCCCCATAATATTTAAAGAAGGAAAATGTGTTTTTAAAAATTAACACGAAATTCTGTTATTTTGATCCCTCCCCCAAGCTGTATGTGCCTTGATGTACTCAGGAACTCCTTTTCAGAGTCCTCTCTTGAGCCACCCTTTATTCTCCATGTATTCACCCACTCTGTGGTGCAGTGAGCATGACCTGGGTGACAGTGACCATGTGGTGAGACGAGGGCTTCCATCCTCCTGCCACACCAAGCCCCTTTTCTCAGTGGATCCACCACAAGAGAGGGTGAATGCACTATCATAATGCTCCAGCTCTGGCAGGCGAGACCAGCGGAGAATGGGAAAAGATACCCTCCTACCAGCACGTACGGTCATTTTGCTTTCCTGGATTTGTCTGAATCTCTTATTGTTCCCCTTTCTGCACTCACGCCTCGTACCACACAGAGCTGTGATCTGACAGCCTTGTGTGTATTCATCAGTGCTTCAGAGCAGATGATTCACCTACTCCTCTTTATGATTTTATCTCCCATCAACTGAGAAGTCAAAGCCTGCATAATGCACCATTGTTGTATTCAGGAGCGGGCCTGTCACTGTGATACAAATGATACCATGAAAAAGGTGTGATTTTAATTGAAACAGAAGGTTGGCAGGTAGCATCCTAAAGCTCCGGAGCTCGCAGATTAAAAATAACTACAATGAGATCATGTCTTCTAACAACAGAGCGAAAATAGCAATAATAAATACAATAGCCCTGACGGGGCACTGCATGGGAAGGTGAAGGCTAGAAGGTGTATTGTCCACCCTGGGCAGAAAGTAAACAGTGCTGCTTGTTTTACATCCTTTACAACTCATTGTATCTACATCCAAGCTCTGACTCCTGCCTGGCTCCCACCCTGTGTCTGGGAAAGCTGTACTGAGCTCCAAGAGAGAGGAGCTCTGAGGGAATCATCTGCCAGTGGGCCAGCAGCTGCCCAGCTGCAGTAGGCACCCTTGGCTGGCACACAAGTATTGAGGAGGACAGGGACAGAGAGTGCATCTGCATCAGATCCAGCTCAGGCACTACCATGGGTAAAGCCATGGTAGAAGGGCATCAGGTAATAAGGGGTAACGGGTTAAAACTTAAACAGGGGAAGTTTAGGTTGGATATAAGGAGGAAATTCTTTCCTGTTAGGGTGGTGAGGCACTGGAATGGGTTGCCCAGGGAGGTTGTGAATGCTCCATCCCTGGCAGTGTTCAAGGCCAGGTTGGACGATGCCTTGGGTGATATGATTTAGCGTAAGGTGTCCCTGCCCATGGCAGGGGGGTTGAAACTAGATGATCTTAAGGTCCTTTCCAACCCTAATGATTCTATGATTCTAGGTAGGCATGCAGAAGAATGGATTAGCCCTTCTGGCAGGGAAATCTGACATAGTTCTGTGTGACACACTAGGGACTGATGTTTCCTGCATGATCAGCAAATGCCAGGGAAGTTTGCTCCACAACAAAGTGCTCTCATGCCATAGATGGATAAGAAGCAGCTTGGGTTCGGTGGCAACACCACCTTAACAGCTCTTTGCAGCTGAGCCATGCTCTCCCTGGAACACATATTCCACCTTCAATAAAAATGTCATGTTCTGGGAGTTCTAGGCTGGTCCTTGAAAGGCACAGCCTCCAAGCTGTGCCTTCAATTCTCTCAATTCAGTTCTTTCAACATCCGAGCACCAGATCCCAGAACAGCTGTTGCCCTCTAACCCTCAATCTGTAAGCCTGCTTTTTCCACTAATTGCATTGGTGTTATACCTAAAGCCAATGAGATTTCATTGATAAACCCACCCCAAATACCCATTTCTGCCACATGTGAAAAGCCATGTTTCTCACCCATCCACTGGACAACATCTGAGTTGCTTCCTCAGATAAACCACAGTAAACATAATTTTAGCAGCAGAACTTTTCATGGCAGGTGAGTGAGTTCTAGTCCATTCCCAGTCCTCTGAGAAAAATGTTGTTAATGAAGATGACACACAAATCCCTAGATGTTATTACATAAGGCCTGGAGAGGAGCACCCCACTATTCACATCTTCCTGCTCAGAGATGTCAGGATGCCCCTCTGCTGCCCCAGCCAACAGGCTGTGAAACATCCCAACACAATGGGGGATCTCTTGTGGTTCAGCTGGCTTAACATGGAGCTTATGGCTGTGCTAGTTGCAATGCCTGGAAAAAGATGGAGTGACAGAAACCAGTGGCTCTTGCCAGCTGCTGGGATAGAGTGCCCTGACCTGAGAGTGCATCAACTACCCCAGAGTGTCCAGATGACGAAATGTGTGTTTCCCTGTTGAAAGTGTTGTCACACTCCATTCTGATGACTGAATGGTGGGGATGGAGTCCTGAATACAGATGAATGTCCTCATCTCCTCTAAATTCTGACAGAGACAGTTTCTTAGTGAAGGCAGAGCTTATTCATTCTTGCAGAAGATGCATTCACCCACTGTGCTCATGCTATCGATGCTAGGTAGGTTGTAAGGCATGCCAGAACCTCAAGGGACTCACAACAGCCAGCTTTTAATGTGATGCCACACACTGGTGTACAGCAATTGCTACCCTTGGCTAAGCACACACTGAGGATCCTACAGGTATGCCCCTCTTTCACTATGACCCTTCTTCATTTTCATGGCAATGGTTGAAGCAGCATTTTCCCCTCCATCCATCCAACTTGTCTCATCATCTTGTAATGTTTTGGGATGTAAGGTCTGACTCAACTAATGGCTTCTTTTGACAATGATGGCCATAGCCCTGAAACATCTGGTCCTGTGCACCATTTTCATTGAATCAACCCTCAAGTTTGCTGGATCAGGCACAGAGCAGGATCAGGGAAGTGATACTGCTGGGGAGGGAGGGAAAGAGAAAAAAACCATTTTGTTTTAAGGGGAATCAACTCCCCAGACAAGGGTTTGATTCAGGGAGATGGAGAGAAGCAGTAGGACATACTTATGAGAAGAAGAATCTGTGACACTTCAGGTGTCATGATTTGTCAAACTATTCCCTAAGTTAGAAAGTGGACCCTCCGCTCCAGAAATGGTCCTCTTACAGAAATGAGGAGAAAAGAATGTATAACAGCTCCCAACCACCCTCCCTGGAGGCAACAGATGATAAACATCTTAAAAAGACAGAGGTAGTTCAAATATCCTACACTGGCAAGAGATCTTTCACTGCTCCAAGCTGTGGTTCCTCTCAGGCTGGATTGATGCTTCAGTTGCATTACCACCACCACAGCTTTTAATCACCTCTATTACACAGTAGCCTTCAGTGACTACAAATCCTCAGCAGCTCCTCTGGGCAGCTGCATCACATCCCCCTGGCTGCTCCATGGCATGGAAGAGACAGTAACCTGAAAAGCAGTGACTCAATAACCACCTGGTGTTCTTGGAAAAAGCAAGCTTTGGAACAGAAATTGGCTGAGAAACAAACATCCCACAAGGACATCCAAGAACTGGCATGCTCCTACATGAGGCAGTCAGGATAATATAACAGCACGTTGTCCTTCTGAACACAGACCAAAATTCATCCCTAGAGCTATTCAAATAAAACAAGCCCCGAAAGCAGTGTTGCTATATGGTATATATATGGTATAACTACAGCTGCAATATAACCTTCAAAGCAGTTGTCTTCTGGCCTCTTGTGTCCATCAAGATCACATATTACCTACCCACTGATCAACAGAGCAATTCAGTGAGGTATGTGTCATGTAGACCTGGCCAAGGGAGATCTGAAACAGGCCAGGTGTATGTCCATCCACCGATGAGTGATCATTGCTTGTTCGCCCCAAAGATGGCACACCCAAGAAGTCACATCCTCATTTCCTAATGAAAGCCATCCTGAAAGGCAAATCAGAGCACAACACAGTTTTTACTACAGTCCTTCCTCCTTGTAAGAATTGCTCCCTTTGCCTTGAAACCAGCAGCAGACTCCATCTTACTGTTTGGTTGGTAAAGCCAGTATTCATTGGTCAGAAGATACTACAGCTAAAAGCCACCCTACACTTCATCACCCGAACAAAGCATCTCACACCACCACCATTCCAATGGACAGCCCAGCATGGTTCCCAGTGTTCCCCTGTCTTCTGGGAGAAGTCTCTGTGGCTTGGGAATCCTTTGGTACGGATGGATCCGATTCGGTTCTTGTGGCTGCTGGATGTGTCACCAGCTGCAACACTTCACCTGCAGCAACAGTCTCCAAAGACTACTATTTTTGGAAACACGGTCTGCTTGGAGAAGGTAAATGGGTTAATTTTTCTCTAGAAGACCCCACCAGAAGCTAAGGACTTGCCTTGCTTTACTGTCTACTACTTCACAGCAGGTGCACAGGAAGCTCAGGTAGGAGCCAGCATGAGTAAGGGGTATATGCAGGGTTTCCAAATGATGCCGCAGAGCCTTGTGATAATTACAGAGCTGGTCTGAAAACATAAGGATTTTGCAGTTACTGAGTGAGCAGGTCAAAGCAGACCCCATCTGTGCTCCATTTTCTGCAGAGAAGCATACATACCTCTGAAACAGTGCTACTAGGTCTCAAACCTTCTCCATCTGCTGCCTGAGATGGTTGCCTGGACCATAACGAACGTGTTGCCATTTTCAGCACCCAGCAGTGATTGATGCTGTGTTAAGAGGACACCAGTGGTTCCGGTCTATTTACATTTCGAAGGAGCTTGGCTGGGTTTTGTGCTGTCATTTTCTTTTGGTATACCAGCTGTGGGAGACCAAAGGGTACAAAAATTACTGTGATGCTCAAGCGAGGAAATGCTACTGTTGAGAAAACATCCTATTTATGCCACATTTTAAAAGGAACCCATCTTTAAGAGTTCTAAAGAGCTGCTACTAGCAACAAATGAGGCTGCTAATTTGGCCTGGCAAGCCGCGTTTGCTAAACACCATTTCAGGTTTTAATTCATCACATGTAGATTTGGAATTGGAATTCTACTAGCAAAACCGTCATCAGTGCGGTTTTGCAATCCCAGCTCCCTTCCTTTTCACATCAAGCCTGTCTCCCCCTCTCCCTCTGTCTTCCACAGCTGTCAGCTGTCATCAGCCAGGAAGGCAGATGAGCCAGTCGCAGCCTTGCAGATCTGACCCAATCTCCTGCGAAACAGATGCCCAGGCCCCAGGTCCTCTTTGCTGCCCAGCCACTTGTTTGGCTGCAGGAACTGCAATGTGCTACTTGCCTCATGCAAAGGAAGGAAGAACAATTACTTCTTGGAAAGCAGGCAAGGAATAAAATGCTTTGTGCATTCGCTCACCCTGAGAACTGACATCCAATAGCTTTCTTCAACCGCTGTATCCCCCCTTCCACCCGAGTTGTCACTCAGCAGCTCCCACAGGGAGATCTCCTCTTTCCTCTCGGTTGCACAGCTGCCATGAGGTTGCTCAGAGAAGGATGCTGCTGATGGTAGCTTGACCCTGGCCATGCCAAAGTGATGGCAATTTGTGGGGAAAACCTTGAGGATCTGATTGCCCTGCTAGCTTTCCCTGATCTGCCCTCTTAGCAATCACAAGACAGACGCAGTGATGTCCTCTGTCTAGGAACTAGGTAAAGGACTCCTAATTCACCTAAACAAAAAGGGCCATCCAACGTGCCATGCTGCCAGCACCCTGCTTTCATAGCAGCCAGGAGTGCATCTGTGTATACAGAGCCTGCAATGGGACAAGAACAGAGCCACCTCTTCCCTGGTGTGTCTTGCTAGGTACCTTAGGGACATCCTGGGACAGAATTAGTATGTTTAAAGCAGGGAGCTCTATTTACAGTGAACCATTCTCCCATCTTCATATGCTGGAAATCAAATGTTCAACAAGAAAGAACTGAACCAGAAATCTCTTCTGTTTCATGTTTCTGATATTTTGATATCTAATTATTAACTATTTCACATGTCTTGCTGCTACAGAGCACTGGAGACGGACATCACATTGGACCAACTTCCAAAAACCAGCCTCCAGCTTTTTTGCAATTGTGCTTTTGAGAATTAAGCGCAGACTAAGGATTGGAGGGTGCCTGTACCAAGAGACCTAAGCTGGTGGCCAGGCAAGAAAACCAGGAAGGAGGAGGGCAGGCTTCCCACCCTGCCTTTGCTGGTCATTCCCAGGGAAAGGAGCTGTCTTGAAAACTGAAAGAGTCAGGAGAGCCATCTCCCAGGGCACTGGAGCCTGTCAGAGGGAATAGCAGATAGTTCTGTTGGTTTCATCCCTTCATCTGTTGAGGTTGATAGATTATTCACCATCTTGAGGTGCATCACCAGCCTTGGGAAGCCACTGTTTGAGCAGAATGCATCTTGATTTTTCTGTTTCTGTGGAAGTTTTCCAGCCTGCCCTGCTGTTGTTTTTCAGAGCAGGGCTGTGACAGCAAAGTCTGGAGGAGAAAACAGAGCAGGCCAACACGTTGTCCTACAGATGGTTTGCCCTTCCAGGCAGGCAAAGCTGCAGCCACTAATATCATCTTCCTCAGAAGGGCACATTGAGCCCTCTCTTCCTTCAGAGATACCACTCCCCGGCCTTCCACTTCTCTGGTCCCTCCTCTATTTCACAGCTACCAAATACTTTTTCTTTCAGAGGTGACCTCGCTGGTACACACCTAATTCAGTACTGAGCAGCTTGGATTTACCTTCAAGTCTGCTGCTTCTATTTCAGGCATGAGGAAGGACCAAAACTGTGTCCTTTATCCAGTGACAGCAGTTGCTCTAAAAAGGATATGCTCTCTCTCACCTTGAGAGAGATACCCTAACTATGTCAGGGTAACTGACATAGTCAAAATTACTTCTAAGGGATACAGTAAGTGCTTCAGCTCTTCAAGTTCAGACTCATTTAGGTTAAAAACATTCTTGGAAGAGATGATAGCCAGAACATACTCTTCTCTATGCTGTTCCTTCATACTGGCTATGCAGATCTGACACCATCAAAAGGCTGGCATCTCTCATCTCCGCCATGGCACAGGGACCAACTTCCCAACCCTGGTCATATTCTGGCCTGGCTGTCATTCTCTGAACAGTTTTGAACCCATAGCTATGCCAGGCACAAAGCCACAGTGAAAGGCAGTTTGTGAATAGTTGGTGCAGGAGGTATTGTGTTTGCACAGGCCAGGGGTACACAAAACAAGTTTGGCTATGAGATCTATGAGGTGATCCAAGCCTGACATTCACCTGGTTCTTATGATGACAAAAGTGATAAATAAAGCTCTGCTTTATACACTCATGCAAAAAAAAAACCCCAAACCTATAAACTGGCTGGTCCCAGAATATATGCTGGACTCTTCTCTCTCAGCCTGGATACAGGGATTGGGTCTCCTGGAGCACAAATACTTAGAAGCAACACTAATACTCCATGCATCCACCAGCACTAGCGTGGAGCAGGCAGCAGCCAGGAGAAACAGCATCTCTACTGTATATGTTACCACAAGGCAAAGTATAAGTTCTTGATGAGCCCAAAATCTAAAAATCATACGCCCCACCCAACATCTAAAGCCTTAGACACAACCAGAGATTTTTATTTCAATCTTCCACACCACCTCTTCTTCTCCCATTGCAAACCAAGTCAATTGCTAGCCTCTCTCTTTTCACAGAAAAAGATGGATAATTCTTCATCCGGCATCCTTATCCCTCTAATTGCTTGATTGATTAGCATAATTATGTTGAACCTAGAGTAATTGCTCTGGACCTGCCTCTGCTTGGAAAGAGCAGCTTTCATTCCCAACCTGGGAATGGACTTGTGTGCTGGCAAGCATGTCTGCCTCCTCCCCTGGTGTATGTGTCAGCCTGGTAAAAGCTGTGAGCTCTTCCTCCACACCACACTCCACCGGCTTCCTAAGGCAGGACACTAGGCTGCTTTTTGTAGCCCCTTTGCCATGAATAAGTGTACATCACTAAGAAAGCTTGATAGTCAAATGGTCAGGACAAGCAATATATGAAAATCAGTGTCTGGCTGCACTTGGCTAGGATTATCTCCATCAGATGAAGCACAATTAATGCTAATTTGCTGCTGCTGCAGCCAGCTTTCCTACTTCTGATGTCTTATGGGAACAGGGATTACCACTGAGCTAGTAAGATTGCCTCAAAACACTTGTGGTCTACTCCTGGAGACAAGTTTTACACCCAATTCTTTACAGTCCAGTGCCTCTTTTTTGTGATTTCTTTTCCTAAAGCCAAGCAGAATCATTGTGATCCCTTATTCTGAGCTGCGTAACACAAGGCCAGGTAATTTTCGCCAGCAATTTCTGCACTGACTTTGTTTACAGTCACTTTGGAAAGCCATCCTGTATCACCTTATTCCCTGCAAATGACTTTTTTCCACGCAGATCAATTACCGGGGTGTCAAATGCTCTGTGCTATCACACTCAGAGGCTCTGACTTTAATTTATACTCAGACCACCTTATTTTAGTGTGGAAAACCAGCTGAAGCTGTACTTTATCCACAACTCCCAGGTCCCTGGGCTCAAGGCACCTGCAGCAAACAAGCACCAGAAACAATAGATAGGCTAGAAATATCCAAATACCATTCAAACAGAAGGCTCCTGTGTGCCTTTTACAAGTTAGTATGCAGTAGGAGCTAAGAGACAACGTCTTTAAAAACCCCAGCTAATGCATCCTGCGGGCCACAGAAGAGGGTTCAGGGTGCACTGGTGTATCTCAGAGGTTTTTTGTGGGTGGGTTTTTTTTAGTCTCTCCTTCCTGTGATAACCTTTCACCCCACGCTTTGTGCTCTTTGTGTGTTTATCAGCAAAGCACATCCAGATGCCCTTCAAGGGAGAAATGACTCATACCTGACTCACAATCCCTCAAGCAAAGCTGCAACCTTTAGTTCCATTTCCTGGGAGAAGCATCTGTTAGATTCATCTTGGAAGATTAAGCATTTCTCACTGTCATTTTACAGATGGAGGCATTTGTGACTTGCTGAGGAAGGGTCAACAGATTCTCTGCAATGGATGGAAAACAAACTTCTTTGGGCACATGAAGCGAGGCACTGAGGACTGGGAAGATGCTCTTCAGCAAGTGCGGTCAGCCCCCTCCCTGTACACAGCTCTTGCCTTGTAGAAGGACCTCTAGTTTCACAGTAAGCTTTCAAAAAGAAATCACGCTTCCTATGCTAAGTGTGCGACTGCGAGAAGCAAGCAGCCAGCACGCTCCCTGCCCACATTATCCCTGTGCTGCCGTGATGAACTGCCACTCAATGCAAATCACCCTCCAGTCCCTGCTCCCCTCGCTGTAGTCACAGCCCTTCAGTTGCCTATCTGGCAAGAAACAAACACACTGGGAGGCTGCTGCAGAAACCACCTTGTTTCACAGAGATGGCAACTTTTCACCCTAAAAGGTTTCCCAGCTGTTTTTGCACAGCCAAGGAGCCTCTTCCTAATGTGACCTTTCATTCCCAGAGGATGAAAATGAACAGATCCACTAAGCACATCAAACAAGGGCAGTGCTGGAAATCCTGGCATTTTTTCCTCCTATCTTCCCTCAAAGAAGCCTTAGTTCCTCTTAGGTTAACACCCCATATACAGAATTTGCTTCACATAACTTTAGAACTCTGAAAGATACTTGTATCTATGCTGTATCCTTTTGTTATGTTTTGTTTTTTAGAAATAGATTTAGCAAGGCCACTGCCCCATCCTTTGGATACCCAGAGAAAGATCACCCGTTCCTCCCTATGGGGACTTGATCACATGGATGTTTATACACAGACATCCCAATAAGACCAGCCCTGACATGGTGTACGGCTTTGCTTTCCTCCTTATGCTTCTCAATAGTATGGAAATGTTAATAATGATGTGTAGCCCTTGGTGCGCACATTCCTCTGCTTACCACAGTCTCCCTTCTTGGCTGAATAATCACAGATAATTCACTTGTCTGAATATGACTCAGAGCTACTTTATTTCACACAAAGCAATTTCTAATTGCATGTTGTATGTCTGTGTTACGAAACCCAGCGCTAACTGTTATTACAAAATTAGTGCAGACAACTCAAGGGGAAGGAAAACCACAGTGAGAAACCAAGTAAGAACCCACAGAGGGGCTGGCCAAAACTGTGTCAGGTTTCCCATCTCTAGTACAAGAAGCCTTTCCACACAGAGCCAATCATTTCCTAACTGCTCACACAGTGACTAAGAGGCAATGAGACAGTTGGGGTACCTCTTCCTTTACCCTCAGATGGGCTGAAAGTATTTTGGGGCCAGAATACAACGAGTCTGGCTCTGCTTGTCCTTGTATCTGTGTTCAATAAGCTTTACAGCAACACCAATGCAGAGACATGCATGGCAGCTGTGAGCTGAGGGAGGCAGGTTCTGTCCTTTGCCATGCGTCCCATTTCCATGGCATTCTCACAGTTCCATGGACCTCCAAAAGGGCAGGTATCACGGCTGGAGAAAACACAGCTGATGCCATAGACCTGACAGTTTTTCATACTTCTGGGTAGGGACAATTGAGGAAGATGTAGCTTTTCAATGTTACTCAGCCCCTGGCTCCCTCTGCTCCAGTGACCTCCTTCAGGGCATCACCATTGCCAGAGACTTCAGACAAAGTTGGGTGAATACCAGTAGCAGGCAGACAAGGGATTATCCATCCCAAGGGCTAAATTTTATCCCTACTTGTAATGTCCGAATTGTTAAATAAAACAGAGCCATGGAAAAAGATGATCTCCAGAACCTGATTGTCCAAACTACCTAACAATCCATACACAGAACATGGCTCAAAGGACAGCACACATCAGTGACTACCCCCAGCAGGTCAGTCTGGGCTCTGTGACCCTGTGTATTCCTCTGACACCGTCCCAGCAAACTGTACTGCCTCACAGTCCTGCATACCACACACTCTTAATTTGGGGCTATGAAAGCATTGTTCTCAGGTACTGAAACACATCCCTGTCATTACTTTGACTACTTTGAACTTGAGAAACATTCTTACAAAATGAATTCAGGCATGTCTTGCTATCCACTGAGGATGTATTTCTCCTCTGAATATCTACAGCGAGACGTGGGCAGAATGATGAGCTCAGGACAAATCATCAACCATCCATCTGCATCTATGGGGATTAGAAAGGATCCCAATTCTGTGTGAAGAAGGGAGCTGCTAGATGCTGTGAGGAAGCACCCACAGGCAAAGACCATGAAAAGGAAAAGTAATGCCAAATAAGACTCACCATGCATGCTGGGGAGGCAGATTCTTAGCAGCGAGGGGTGCTTAGACACCTGGACAGATTGCCACAGGGCACAGTGTTTTCCATCACTATCAATATTTGTACAAAGATGAGACCTCTTCTGACAAGGAAATCAGCTTAGCCAGAAGCTTTCACGCACAAAGCAGTAAGCATTGGGTGGGAGTCAGCGATCTGTGCTATGCAGGTGGCCAGCCAAGAAGAGTTAATGGCCCTTTCTGGCTTCAGAGCCAGAGGAAATATTGTGATTTAATCAAGCACAGAAAACCCACACGGGCAAAGGCTCAGCTCTGGAAGACTGCCAACCCTCCGCAGTTGGGCTGCAAATGAAGTGCCCTGTCCTTCACTTGCACCGCTGGCAATCAGAGCAGCTGGTCCCAGGACCACAGAGTAACACAGGTGCTCGGGATTTGAGCTGTAAGCAACCAGTGAAAACAAACAGATGGATGTGAGGCAGACTTTGTGTACCTGAGGAAAGCAAACACAGGGACAGGGCTGAGTGATCATTCACACCCACAAGGGGACAGGCATGGTGGGGAGAGAGGCATCATTTTTTGTTCAAGTGCTTCCTCGCCTAGCCCCGTGGTCCCCTCTGGCTTCATTCATGTAAAACACAAGAATATGAATGAGAAACCCTGTGAAGCGGAGAGGAGGAGGGGGAGAGGAGAAGAAAGGATTTCATGCTACCAGGGCAACCGTCACCATGGCAACTATTTAATTAATGAGCTGCTGATGGGCCCTACCAATATGGTTCTAGTGAAGTCATGCTGTAGTAATTACCAGAGTTTCATTCATCCTGTCCTGGCAGGGGCTGCACAGGCAAGCTCCGACAGACGGGAGAAAACAGCTTGCTGAATCAATGGAAGGAGAGCGCGTGCCTGAGAGCGTGCTCCGTGGCTCCTCCGAGCCAGCTCCCCGGGCACTCGAGCATGGAGACCGCATGCCGTCCAATCCATCTTACAGTCCCACACCGCCAAAGGGCAACCCAGCTGGCCTCCTGCCACCCACCGACACAGGCAGCATTCACAAGCAGTCTGCAGAGCCAGCTCTCTCTCTCCCTGCTATGCCTTCAACCTCCAGAAGATGAAAGGAAAAGTAAGCAAATGAGCCACCGATTTGCCTTCTCTGGCTGAAGGATTTCTCTTTTCACCCAGCAGCATAACAGCTGCATGGGCATCCCACGTGGAAAAGGAGCTCCTAATAAACACAGTGAGGTCTTGAGGGGTGCGTATGTATCAAGAACTCTGAGGAGATGGGGGCTATTAAGTACAGAAAGAGGATACATAAAACACCACAGATGAGCTATATAAAGAAAAAAAAAAAATTACTAAAGGTGAGCACCAGGTCAGCTAATTTACCTGTTCTCATGAAATGAGAAGATGCTCCGTAATACTGCAAGAGTTGAAAACACATCACACCACTACCCTGCATCTTTACTTGCTCCGCAAAAATCGCCAGGCTTTGTAGGATGTGGACATGATTTACACCAGTCACAAAGATAGGACATCTTACAGTTGTATTGCATTGAAAGATGTGGAAGTGTACAAACTCAGAAGTTGCAGGATATACCCGTCTTTAACACTTGCTGTCAACAAGCCCATTTTAGAAAACGCAAATTAGCCTGCCAAATATTTTCATCACAACTGAGAGAAATCACAAGGATACACATCCAATTTACCTAAATCTCAGCCCGCAGGATTAGCTTTGCACCCTGGAGCTGCCACCACAGTAAGAACAGCCATACATTGTAGAGAATTCACCGTACACCACTCTCACCTTCCTGGAGATCAAAGATCAGGGGCAGAAGTGGTGGGGTTTATTTTTGTAGCCTTTAAACAAGCACACCTACATCTGATTTGATCATCTAGACTCCCTTTATAATCAACAGAGACAAATAAGCCCCTATTATTAGTAGTTTCAGGTGTCTATCCATGGATAATTTCCTTTGAGAAGCACTCAGGTCTCCTCCCAGAGGACAGAGCATCTATCAAATCGGTGAGTATGGATGGAAACATGATGGACCTTTGTACCTGGAGGACCCTGTTCTTACACAGCATCCTCATTCCTATTCTCCACATGAGCACTAGGTTGGCCTGAAACAGCAGTTAAGTATAGGAGCATGGTTAAGTATATGTCAGGAAACAGTTCTTGTCCTCGTATGAAATACCAGCATAATCCAGGCTGAGTTGTCTCTGAGATCATATTGGCTAATTTTCAATTGTGTGCTACTTCAGGAGCACAGCGGTAGAGAAGAGGAGGAGTAGTCTAGATCACAACCACCTTCTGGAGTATCACATCCTGTCTGTACCCTGAAAGAACACATTTATATCATAGCCTGTCTGTGCGAGACCAGATGCACACCTGAAAACAAGGTGCTTTTCTAGATGATGTGCTGAAAGATGTGGGTAGAGAAGAGCCCTAGAAGTCTCTCTTCCAGGGTGCCTCTCTTCTGTTAATATTGCACAGTGATGGTGCTTATATGAGATTCTGTTTGCAGTATTGTTCAAATCCCATAAAATCTAAATTCAGTTTCCTTAAAACTTCATTATGGGGCTCTAAATGCAAACAACTCAGTCACTCTGATCCTTTTCTGGCACCATGGAATCAGTCTTTATTTCTCTGAGGAAAAAAAATTAATCAGGAGAAACCTTTGCACAGCTTCCAGCCTTACTCTTTACAACATTTAAAAATGAGATCAGCAGCAGCCTCATCATTTTTTCTTAGAAAAAGTAAACTTTATTTATTCATTTATTTACTTATTTATTTACAGAAAAAGAAAACTTTCTCACCCATGCCAGTACTAAAACATCGATGGCAAATCAGTTCTAAAGCAAGAGCCGCCAGGACCCCACAGCACATACAGGGTCTGCAATGGAGGTCTGCCATTTTTTCCCCTAAAAGCTCTTCTATTTATACTCATCTTGGCAGGCTTAAAAGTACCTGCCAGATGGACAGATAACTGACATCCAGAAAAGACACTCCACCAGCTGCTCTTAGCAGGGGTTGGGAAGCGTGGGGGCTGGTTAATAAGAAACCACTTACTTCCTCACGGCTGCTAGCTGCCCGCTCCCTTCCTAGGGCTTAATGGAATTTGGAGAGAGTATTTCAAGTCAGACCATCTGTCAGCACACATATATATCAGAGCACCTTGTTTGCAAAGCACAAGTTTTGCTTCTTCACAGGAATCTTTGTTGGTATACTCTCCCTCATCACTCTGACTACCACAGTGATTCCCACAGGACAGGGTTTGACCTGGATGGTACTTAGCGCTGATGAGATGGTGAGCTGAAACCCGTGCCAATGGACAGAGGGCTCCTTGGATAGCTGTTAGCTGCACGTCAAGAGGTAGCCATGCCCAGCAGAGGGGTAAGAGAAGAGAACTAGCTTTCACACCATTTGGAAGCTGTCAGCCAACAGGCAGTCCAGGGTGGAAAGGCCCTGGGGGTGATGCTAGAAGCCAAGCTGAAGGACCTGGCAGAGCACTTGCTTTGAAAACAGAGCAAACCGCATCCTGGCCTACATTGGATGCGTGGTCAGCAGAGCAAGAGGAGTTGTTAAAAAATCATGTCATCTCTTACCCACTGCAAGAATCACAGGGGTTTTCTAAATGCACCCATATTTGTGACTTTTCTAACAGTATTCCTGATTTTATGCTCTTTACCACTTCTTAGCTTTGCTAAGATTTTCCCAGGAGGCAACGTACCAATGGTGTTTATTAACATCCTGAAAGAAGATTTCTTATACCTTTCTGTGTTTAGCTTTTCCTCTGTGATTTCAAAAACCAAACACACTCTTTTCCTTTCATTGCAAGAAGGGAGCCTGGCATAATCATGGGACTCCAGAAACAGGGGCTTTAGGTCAACTTCAACTTGGATGAGCCCTGAAATTCACAGGCATTTCCCACACATTTCTCTGAAACAGTGCTGTGTTTTATTCTCCTTTATAACACAAAGCAACGAGTAGGCTCCCATGACAGGTAACAGCTGAGCCCATGCGGGCAAGCTGAACAACCAGGCAAAAAGCTACAAGCATTTTTGCAGCCTATCGATCAAGAGAACCGCTGGAATAAAGCCACATACTCCTTTACACTGCACCAGTACCTGTAGTTGATAAAATCCCCTCTGTTCTCCCTCTGCTTCACAGCCCCATTTGTAAAACAGCAGTGTGATGCCATTCTCCTTCGTGAGCTCCTGAGAAGCATGATTTATAAGAGCAAGGGACTCTTATCCTTCTGCTTAGAAGAAAAGACCCCGGCCTGCACACAGAGCATTAATGTGAGTTTGACTGATGGATTAGTTTGCAGCTGGTTTTGTTCTCAAGAAAACCTAGACATTGGGGCAAGTACCTGCTCTGATGTGTTAACATGGCACTTACCTGTAGTTCATTCAGTTCATGCATTTCTACCTTATTAGTGCATTTGCCTGCAGAAGAACAATAAATTGAAAAAATTGTTTGGATCTTTCTTCTTCTGGGCCATGTTATTTCAGAGATCTGCCTCATACTAATAAGATATATGTGACAAACACTACAGCTCCTCCATGTCTATGATCTCATTTATAACTAGAATAATCTTCACTATGCTGAAATTAAAGGAGCTACTTATAATTTAAGGGCTGGTACTCAAATCAGCATCCACCTAATGCAATACCAGCTACAGATTCCACCTCTCCTTGAGAGTTTTGCAGACACATGAAATTTCACCCAGGAGTGCCATTTTTCTTAAAACACCAGATCTTGGAGCCTTAATTTGCTTTTTTTGTTCTCTTTTCTTTTTGTTTTCCTTTTTGGGGTTCGTTTTTATTCTAACCCTTTTCAGTATGTTGCTGTCCAGCAATATGTTGCTGCCTGCTTGCTAGGGAAGTTGTAGTAATATGTGGGTGATCATTAGCAATGAGTGCATGATACTCTAGAGGTAGAAGTCAGGTGAATGAAATGGAAAAAGGCAAATCCTGCCTCCCACAGAGCTGCAGGGATGGTCTCAAACAGGGATGGTAGCGCAAGCCTCAGTTGCACTGATGTCACAAGCAGAATGGGAGGAACGGTGTGATGCAGATAGAAACAGCTCTGGAGGAGGTCAGGACTTTTTCCATGACAGCATTCAGATATCTTGCCTGAAAAAGTCAGGAAATAGCTGCTTTTTTACTGGGACAATTTGTGTTTTTTAATGGGACAAAAATCATGGGTTTGTTTTTGCATCCTTCTCATGCTTCACAGCTGTCAGCACCACAAAGGCACACTTCTAACCCCTCAGTCCTATTGCCAACAGCCAGGGCAGTGGCAGCCTTC